AAAAACTGCTCAAAGTAGTGAGTGCTATTAACATTTTTATGTTTATTGACATGTTGAAATGAAATATTTTCCATTGTCTGTAGTTTTGCAAATGGTTAAATCCTGTCAAAAGTTATTTCTTTTTTATCAAAGCATATATTAATAATGGCCAAATCGAACAATTTCCAATACTGAGGAAAGCATATGTTGAAAGACCAAAATAATAGCCTTGCATTATTTAGCCATGCATTAGAAATGCATGCTTATGTACACTGTTTGCACTGAATGTTTTTTTTACTTTGCAGTGATGTAATTTCAAGAAGGCAACCTGTTTAGTTATAAAAAGTATTAGGTTTTGATCTTAAATGGAGTTTCTAACAGCAGTTCAGGAGGAAGGTTACAGTAGATCCTACACTTGAACACTTCTGTTTGGCTATGAAAATAAGCCTGGCACCCAGGACCTCCTTTCTCATATCTCTCTCAGATCCTTCCCACCGCCCAGTACATACTCCTACAGCAACTCCCTGGCTCAGCCTTTTTAATAGTGAGGGGGGGGGGAGGGTTAGGCTGCCATTCCCTCAACTAGGTGAGTCCTCCAAATTCTCTATACTGTATATGCTGTACAGTATTGTCCCTCAATCACACTCAATAGGATCTAACAGAACTACTGAAATGTATTTATGAGAATACAGTGAAAGCTGTAAATACAGGAATCAGTGGAAAGAAAAGTATTAACATAACCTTTCAGTGATTCTGCAAAATATATTTTAATTCTTACAAAAGTATGCATCCACACTAACTTATAGAGATCTATTCTAAATGTTCATTGTTTCCCCCAGAGACATCTTTGTTCAATTTTAAATTTCTAAGGAATTTATTATGTCTTCTGAGCAAGCTGCATGTCAATACCTATAAGTCAGATATTTAACTTTACTTTTTTTCTTTAAATAACATATTTTCCCTCTTGTTTCTCATGCTGTTATGTGTCATGAAATGTTCCTTACAATACACTGTAAATGTTATGATCTAAAACAATGTATGTAAAAGCAAACTTACTGTATTCTGTTTGTCCTGGAAAAGAAAAATTCAGAACACAAATTTAGAAGAGATGTAAAGTATACAGCGTGATTAGAAAAACAATTCTAAAGCAAATCTTGTCTGGATGTCTGTTTATGTGCCAATATGCTAATAAAAGATTCCTCTAAGTATTGTAATAAACCTGCTGCTTTTTCATTGGAGATGCATCATTAGAACACTTTGGAAGTTACCCGAATAGCAGACAGTTTTTTAGGTGAAGTGTAACAGAATTCATGTTCTTAAATGTGTCTTGTTTTGGTCCTTAAATCACTGTTTTGAGAAAACTCAGTAATTCTGGCTTTGAGATAGACTTTCAGACTGCTTTTTCTGAATGATTTTTGTAAAGTACATCTTACG